CCCCATCCCCATGGCTCTGCTCGTGCCAGGGAGCACAGACTCCCAAAATCACAAACTCACGCCTGACTGTTTGCGCCCAATAAAAACCCAATCACCCACAAACCAACCACAGATCACTCTTCGGAGGAGAGGGGGAATCCCCTTGATGTCTCTGCCAAATTGTGGATGTGGTAACTATTTTCTGCCTCACAATGCCTTACCATGATTTCAGCTGGACAAGCTATCCTCCATTTCCTATCCTGCTCAGTATCATCTCTGACATAAATGCATTTCAGTCACATTTGAAGAGACACCTGTAGCTGCGTATCAGCGTGTAAGATCTTCCTGACTGATTAAGGATACCCACAGTGTAGGGTTTCTAAACCCTTCCATTTAAAGGCCTTAATTTTGTCTTCTTTAGGATAAAATTCTCTTTAAGTCATGTTCCTGCTTCGTGCTCCCATTACAATTTTTGATGCTGCAGGTCATCCACTTCCAAGATAATTTCAGGCCATGCTCTGTTGACCCTCCGCTACTTGATTAACCAGTGCTTCACCCATCACAGCAAAGGCTCAAGGAGTCATTTTGGTACCCGTCTCTGAAAAATCTGCCCAAACCTGGCCAATTTATCAAACTTTGAAATGCCATTTTGAGCAAACTACTGAAGACCTGTGGAAAAGTTGCCCCAAATTCCATTTGCATGGGGAATGGCCAGGCCCCAAACTGAGTGGGGTCCAAGATCTTTGGACCTCTGATCATTTTTGATATTTGCCCAAGATCACAACAGGCAGTGCCTTCACATACACTTCCCTGTCTGATGATGGACAATGATCCAGCCCTTCATCAGAGTCCTGTAGGTAATTACGCCAATTGCTGCAGGACTCCTGCTCTATTTCGTGCTTATGCTGGAAGGCAGGCAGGGAAGGGTGGGAGACAAGCAGGAAAAAATGGTGTTTCTAAGAATACGCCACATAAATGGTGCCCCTCAGTGTCTGCCCACGTCTGTCCGATTTGCAGCAAGTCACTTCATACAAAATTTGTCCAGACAGGCAGGAAATGTGACTTATGCCATGAGTTTAGCACAATTAGATCCTGGAAACTTGATTTGCATGATTATTGTGCAACAGGAGTCACTGGGAGCCATTGAGTATTAAAGTATTTATAACAGGAAAAAAACACTAAAAATTCAAGTTCTAATACTCAGGTTTTGATACTGGTGAGTTTAGTCTCATTGTGCCTCTGGCTCCTATCTGTAAAATAGGAACATAACCTTACAATTTCTAGGAATACAGCTAAAACATTAATGGCATGAAGTATGCAAGATTCAGCGAGGAGATTAAATTTGCATCAGGCTCTAGGTTGACAATCTCCGCAATGGGGGCTGTTACCCTGTACACTGAATGAGGGAGAAAGTTTTGTGAAAAAAAGGGATGTGACCATGCCATTAAATACAGTCCTACTCCGTAAGGAGGCTGGACAGCAAGGCAGCAACAGGCAACCTTACCTCTGGCATCTCCTGACTGTGAAGTCCTGAGCTTCAAAACTTAAATATATTTGTTCTGATTTTTTCAGTGTATAGCAACAGAAAGAATACTTTTCAGCCACATACAATGGATGTAATAACTGAGCTTGTTGTGTTTTATTATAACAGGTGACTGAGATTTGAGTAGTGATCTCAGGAACGCCTTGGGGTCATTATTGTTAAAGGGTTTGTTAAATGTGTAAGTCGAGTTCCAAATTTCCATAATAGCATAGTGGTCCAGAATTACCCTAACACTAAAAGATGGTATTTAATATGAGTTTTCAGACCAATAGGGCCCCACTCCAACAAGGGAGTTACATCCTGGTTCATTTCCCAATCAATAGGCAGAAAGTATGTGTTTCATCATAGCTAAGCTGCTCCGTTCTGCTAGCAACAAAAAAGCCACAAAATCCTATTTCATGGCAGATTTCTTTATACTTATAGTAAACTGTGAATTAGTGCATTAGATAATTTTTATCAGCTTAATTCATGTTCCCAATCTTGAACTGACGTAAAAACGAGCATATTAGGGATGGAATGAGTTTGAGAATCCTAACTAAAAACATAAGCATAGCAGGAATATAACCAGCACCTGAACCACCTCTGCAAAAATTATGGCAAGCACAGAAAACCTAAGGCTGGCATTTGCATCAAAGCGGTGGGTACACCCATTGTTTAATAAACAAATCCAGGTCAGTGAATCAGGAAGAGTGACTGGGAGCTGCCGGGCACCACAGCTCCAGCCTGAACACAAGACAGTGTGGGACAGTCCCAAGCCAGGAGCATACCAGAGACCTGACTGCTCACTCCTCGCTGTAAAGGATGAGAGGTTGGAGGAAGGGTAGAAGCACTTTGTAGTGCTCTTTTTACACATCACTTACTTGTCACGGTACCCCAGCCATGCTCTCTGCCTCTCTGAGAGCGGCAGAACCAAGGTTCAGCTCTCTCCTTGCTCCAGCCAAGGCTCATCTCCTTGCTGCTGCTGCCCAGCTGCGTATTGCAGCCCTCAGCACACAGATCCTGCAGAGGATCCTCCCAAGGAACACTGGAGGAAGCCCTGAGCAGCCTGCCCCGCTCCCAGTGCTGATCCCACCAGGAGGACTGGAGACCTCCCGGCTCTCTTACAACCTCCGAGATAGGATTTTTTGTGAAAGAAGCAGTAGCTGTCCTGAACATGCTTTCTTTGTGGGTATACATTGGGCAACTGGCACAACTTTAACAATAAATAGAACAGTAAAGTAGACCAAGAGAGTAATTATGTAAGTGCTGGCAAAGCCGTTATCACAACGGTGACTTAATTGCAAGCCTTTATTTGTCTTGATGGTTGGTACAGGACAGCACACTGAGATGGGTAAAACTGCTTTTTGTTTTGGTGGTTATCCTTAAAAACCAGCCACTGGTTACACTGCTGCCCTGACTGTCAGGGCTGGACCACAGATGTCAACTTTGGAAAAAAAAAAAGAGAACTTGTCCAACTTCCTACCTGTGCTGGACTGGATCTATTGCAATGGAGAAGAAGCTGCTCTGGCAACCAGCAAGCCAGACAACACATGTAGATGTGTTTAGATTTAAATTCCCCTCCCGTCCCATTAATGGAAGTTGGAAGAAGTGGCATACCAGTATGTGTTGCAGCTACAGGAGCCAGCATGACAAATAAATATAGAAAGGACAAAAACCCCTGAGACACAAAAGCATCCGAACTACAGAACATACTTGGAATCAACAGATGTTATTTGTACACATTTTGTGATGCTGTCACATAATTCATTTAATTAAAGGACACATGTATCACAAAAAGCACTTAAATTACGGCAGCCCATAAACCCAGGACGTTAGTATTCTGTCCACCTTAACCAAAACGTCTGACACCATCAATTTTAATACACAGTGGCTTTAAGAAGTTGGCTACGGCTTTGTGGCAGCCTGCCCAGGTCCTTTGCTCAATCAAGCAATAGTTGTCTTTGACCAAAAAAGAAAAGAAATTAAAAAATCGCCAAACAGTGTCATTGCTGGATGTCTGCTGGCATTTGCTTCTAATATAGGGATAAGCAGATCACACGCAAAGACGGATTAATATTTTGGGTAACCATAACACTGCAGAATTAATTAGTTTGGTAACTCATTAGTGAAGCTACCCACTTCTGATTCGTTTTCCTGAAATTACTACACAGTTTATGTCTGTTATGTTAACTGTACGTCCACACGAAGCCCTGTGCTGTAGGCTCTCACACCTCGCGCTGCTTCCCCTTGCCTTATACAACACCAGCGTGTCACGGTGCCCTGGGCAAGGTCGCCACGCTCCTAACAGCGCTGGGGGCTGTGGCAGAGGAATCCGCCTTAACAAATTACCCTTCATTATACGCGACTCTGCTCATAAATCTTGATGTATCGCCTCCGAGCACCGCAACGCTCCCTCGCCCTGCTGCGCACCCTCCACATCTTTGCATTTATGAGGCGTTTTACCCAAATACACCAGCCACACACACACGATGAGGGGGTGCTGCTGCTGTAGGAGTGCCTCGACCTCCCGGAGCACCTGCTCTGTCCTGCTGCTCTCCACCTGGGGACAGGAGCACTGACTCGAGAGCACTCAGGTGCCCTGGAGCCGTGACAGCGCCTGTAACGAAGCACAGCGTTTGTCCCGGGGGATTTTAGGGTTTTTACCCCCTCGAGGAGCCCACCTGAACCTGCCGCTGCCTCAGCAAGCCGACGGCACACGGGGGTGAGCCCGACCCGCGGCGGGGCAGCCGACCCCCTGCATTTCCCTGCCCTAACCCCGAGCACCGAGGCAGGTGCCCCCCCCATTTTCCCCTTTTCCCCTTTCCCTCGGCTTTTTCGCCGAGCCCCGCGGCGCGGCGGGACCGACCTGCGAGCCGCCGCTCCCTGACATTCCTCCACAGCAAGTCCCAGGCTTTGGCGGTGGAGTCCCGCAGCTGCTCGCTCAGAGACCGCCGGAGCTGCGCCTTGCCCGGCCGGCGCTGGCTGCTCATCCTCGGTGCCTCCTCATGCCGCCCCGGGCGGCCCCGCTCAGCGCCGCCGCCGCCGGCGGCCACATGGGGCCGCGGGGCAGCCCCGCCGCGCCGCAGCCCGCCTCACCGCCGCCCCTTAGCACCTGAGCGCCGCCCGCCCCCATCCCGGGGCAGCCGCTCGACCGCCAGCCACCCCCTGTGGGGCGGGGAAGGTGCCCCCCTGGGGTCCGTCCCCCTTTGAGGGACCCCCCCCCCCCCCCCCGGCCCCATGCCCGCCGCCACGGTCCGTGAGGGGGCGGCCACTGGTGCGAAATGGCCGCCCCCCGGGCTCGCCTCAGGCACCGTGTCCCCAAGCACCACCCAGCCTCGGTGGCCCCGGTGTCAAGTTTAGGTGGCCCTGCGCCTGAATTTAAAACCCTGCTTGGGTTGGGGAGCCTTGGGTTGGGGTCTGTGGGGTCCCAGCCGCCCCGTGAGCCTGCACCCAAGCCTGGGCTGGTGCTTGCAGCCCCTGGTGCCCTCCTCCTCTGGTGCCCACCAGCGATGGCCAGGCCTGCTGCTCTTGGGGTGGCAGAGGGAACTCAGCCCCAACAAGGTGACAGAAAACCCGGCTCGCAGCGTGTTATCTTTCTCTCTAGAAGTAGTAATAGCCACTTCACCCCCGACGGTACTTTCAGCAGAATAAAATTGTTTTTCCAAAGTCTGTTTATCAGCTTTCCACCAAAGCCACTCTCCTCACAGTGCAGTCTCTCCCATTTCTTTCCCACTTTCCATTCCACCCAGTTATCTTCTGCCTCCCTCCCCCTGCCTCATTCCTCCCATACCCCCTTCATTATCTCCTCGCTAACAAGCTCCTGCCCTCCTGAAAGGTTTCATAACTAAACTCTGGCAGTCACTTCTTGCACACATTTGCAGACAAAAAGGAATTCCGATTCCTCCATCCCTAGATGAGCCAGAGAGCAACATCAGCGCCCTTACCCCATTTAGGAAACCAAGTTGGGGCCTCTCCTTCCTCTGGGATCTGGGAAATATTGTTGTAATGATTGCCCTTTCCCTATTCTGGCCGCCCATGGAGCGGATGGTTCCCAGCATTACTGGCAGCAGAGAGTCTGATAGCAGGGAAGGACAATAGGGGCTTAATTTCATTCAGTTGCAAACCATTATTTATTACTTACTATTTTTGCAGAGTGTCTGTGATGTGCAATGAAGAGGCTGATGTTCCTTAAAGTGAGTGCCATGCACTGAAACAGCTGAATACCCTGGTGAAGCAATCATGTTAAACATTACAGATATCCCCATCTTGTTTAAATTAAAATTGTCGCTGTAATGTCAGCAATACCCATACAAACTACAAGCAAACACACAGCTGTGTTCCATATTACCACTCAGTTTTACTGATGTCTTTTGCCTATCCTCTGATGTGATTTTTTTTCATTGTCTCTGTTCTTAAAATGCTTAAGACTCCTCTTAAGCTACTGCATTTTATGTAATATGGTGGTGATGATGTACTTGTACAGAACTTGTAAAGATACTGGATGTCACTCATCCTTCTGCAATTCAACCTGCAGCATCCTACAATTGACTGGACAAACTCTTCTAGGGCCAGATGCCCCCAACATCTGGCAGAAGGACAGCATAATTACATAAATACCTCCACATCCTATGATCCAGAGCAAACACCTGCTGATGTTAATGGGAGGAGAGAGGATTACGGTTCCTACAGTCAGCTTTTTTGCCCTGTAAATCAGCTTTCTGACCTCTGTTTCACTTTATTTAGCTCCCTACCAATACAGCACTAATGGTATGTAACACTCAGTGCTTGTTCACTGCCGTGTGCTCCTGTCTGCTAGGAACCAGGTAGAGATGAGCAACTGATTTCTGATACCTTGCTCAGCTGCCATATAAATATCAGCTGTGACACAGCCTAGATAGGAAATCACAACTTCAGTTTTAAAGGTTTTTATCCATATTGCTGTGTCATTGCCCACAGATTACAGTCCGTGCCAGACAGCACCGTAACCTCAAAAAGTGGTCCTCTGGCAGCCACACTTGGAGGTGCCCTCTCACCACGTCCAATCTGTCTGGAAAATACATCTTCATTTCTTCAGTTCCTTTCTGTAATGGCCAGAAAGTGGTGATACAGTAATAGATATTCTCTTCCCTTCTATACCACTTTGAAGATGTTCCTTTATCAAAAATGTTCCTAGACGTCTAGTTTTACTGAAAATGGCCAATTAGCAATGAGATACTAGCAACTGCTAATACTGTGTTATCTCACCGCAGGTTACCAAGATAAATGCCAGCGATACGGCTCTATTTCATAATCAGCAGCAGAACAGAACTGGCAAGCCTAGACTGATCTCTGTGGCAGGCACTGACAAAAATCTTACTAATTCCAGGTACTTGCCATTACTGCGGAAAACTAAATCCAGCAGCAAAACCAGATACTGTGCTTTTGTCCCCTGAGAAAACAGTGCTATTGAGTAATGAGAAAATATCTCATGCAACAACTGGCCCATTCCCATTATACGTCTCTAATCACAGTCAGCTGTTCTGAAGTCGAGTTACCAGTGCAGGTATTTTTGATGTATTACACCTAATAGCAGCAGTTACAACAAAAGCTGCGCTACACAACCTGCTAGAAGAAAGGTATGTGTTAGGGATCACTCACAGGTCAAAGATGTTTCACTGCATTTTAGGATGTTAGGAAGCGTGACTAAGAGGTAACGTTCTGGACCTCCTCCGCACATTTTCATCGGCTGGGTAAGTGCACAAGTAACCAACTGATCAGAGCTCTTGCCCACAGTTGGGAAGTTTCTGATATCCCAAACAAGATGGATAACCTTTGGGGAGGGTGGGTATGAGGGGAGAAAACATTTTCCACAAAAAGAGCAGTTTTCCTGCTTCATGCTAGTTATGCCAAGATGGTTCTGTTCAGAATAATTGCAACAAAAACAATGTGTATGATGAAGAGAAAAGGAGAAAGTTCCCAGCTGCCCTAAAAGAAGTTGAACTATGACATTTGCCTCTTCTCATTGATAACAGAATATTGGCAGGAATGACAGTGGTATTTGTCTCTGGAGATCATGCAACCATGTACAATGTTGTGAAAAAATCTAACCTAATTACACCCGTGCTCTGATGCCACTGTGGCACAGAAGTCTGATGTTCTAATTATATATTTAGCAATTTATAGTTCCTCCCAATCACCATGGTAATTAAATGGTAAGTTAATTGATACTACAGAATAATCTGGCCTCTAATTAGCAGTGTGTTTTTAATTTGTTACAGCTTCCATTATGCAGCCTGATCCAGTCCTAATAACGTCACTGCAAAAGCTCCCATGCATTCGGTAAGAACAGAATCAGGCCTAAGGAAAGCCAGAGATGACAACCTGTTGGTTTGCCATTTGTAAACCACTGAAAGCCTACGATAAAAGTGTAACTTCTTCCTTTTTTTTTTTTTTTCCTCTAGACCTTAGTCAGCATTTTGTGTTAGTTTAACCACATCAGAAGAGTGGTCTGCTTGTCAAAAAACAAACCCAGGAATGTCTTGCAGAGGAAAACACGAAAGGAGCACAACCTTGGTTACTGCATGCTCTTCGATGGACACAACCTCCTCAACTTTTATCTCTTATAAAGAAATAGCAGAACCAAGGATGAAATCAATTAGTGGTACAGGATCCCTGATGCAATCTGATGCTAATCAGCACAATACCAAACTTTACAATACGTTAAAGTCCTCAATAACAGACTGTAAATTAATGAAGCTTCTTGAAGTTTATTATACTACAAATGATGTTGTACTTCTGTAGCTTCAAATAGTAACTCAGACAGCCGGATATACATACATCAAGTAATATTTATAGCCTTGGCAATGATCTTTATCTCTTTGGGGGTCCTACAACTCTGGAATTTGTTTTCTATCACGGGCTAAATGTCCCGAGTCTGATGTTGCAAGTCTGAGTTACTTCTGGAAGGGAAGAAAAGATCTGAGGTTTTCCACTGCTTGTTTTCCTAACAGCAGACTGCAGTGAATTGCACACTGATTCTGTGGTTGAAGTTATGTGAAAAGTACCAAGGACATATGAGTAGGTGTCCTCTTTTACATCTAAGTAAACAAACAAATACTTTGGAGAGAAAAACAAGAATCACTGTGAACGAGGACAAAATGTTCCAGCTTGTTCCCTGGCACGCTCTCCTTGCTGGTTATTTCTATATGCAAATGATCATCATTTTAAGGTAGCTTTAATAGGGATGAGTGGTAAAGCTGCTTCACTCTTGCCCAGCTTATTGAGAGATTGGCACCTATCTGTTCACCCTCGCAGTTTCCTGAAGCCCTGGGAAAGGATCACTCCACGTTTTGCCAGCAGCAGAGCGCTGCTGTCTCGCATTAGTTGGGGCCAAATTCTTTCACTTTTGTTCCCAGTGATTAATGCTGAAATAAACAGGACTTCTTGCAGAATTCGATGTGCGAAGGCTCAAAGTATGCTCAGATACAGACTCCAGTAACAAAGTATCTGCTGTTTGACTGCACTCCACCTCCCTTGCTGGAACTAGCATGGAGGAGATGGGGGCAGGGGGGAATTAAGATTTTTTTTCTGTTCACATGACAAATGGTTGTATATTATTAATAAGAAGTTGTAATACCAAAGCACCTAGAACCAGAAACTGGATGGAGCAAATATACAATCTTTGCCCTTAGGAGATTGTAAACTAAGCATAAGATACCAGTGGAGAGAAGGGTAGGAAGGGAAAAGTACAAGAGAACGATAAAACAATGCTGGCCACTGTTATAACTGCTGGTGTTAGCATGCCAGAATTCATTTTTGGAGGCACTGACACGAAGCAAGTTAGCAAGAGGGTCTCACAGGAGGTTAATGCGATATCGTAATATATTCAGAGGACCGACTCCCAAGCACGAGGGGCAGCTTCAGAGAAGGCGTGCCAGTGCATATTTGAAAATGTAATGGGCAGACAATGAGAGCTGGCATCCCGTGCAGACAGACTGTGGGAATCGAGCTTTTAATATTGAGCGAATGATAGATAGATAGAGGAAGGGCCTTCAGCCGTCAGCCAAGCAGCCTCCGCTGGATGCCACACAAAGGCAGAGCGAGCTGCAATGAATGGTGATAGGCAGAGGGCTGCCAGTGTTTTTGTGTTTGGGATGCACTCAGGTAGAGCAGACAATGTCTATCAAGGCAGAGTAAGTGAGGATAAGGATAAGATGGCAAACAGGAGGTAGAAGTTCTTCCTAGGGCAACCATGAATTTTCACCCGAAAAACTCCTCCAGACAGAAAATTCATTTCTTAAAGAATAAAATTAGAGAAAATTTCAGGGTTCTCTGTCTGTTTATTTTCTGGAAAACAACTGCTGTGTCTGTTCTTATCATGGAGCAGGATTTTCACCAGCTGGCCAACCTTACCTAGGACTTTTCTCCATATCTCACATCCTAGCTACAGTTAGCTCCTGGAGATTCTTTCCAAATAATCCCTCTCCTGCTCCTTTTATGCCTCCTTAACTCAGCCTAAGTTGTTGCACACGAACAGTGAACTCCAGGGGAAGGCCCCGTGTGACAGATAGAAGCATGCTGCGGTCAGTGAGAGGGGTGAAAAAGGGGCTAGGGAGGTATCTGTGGCATGGATGGTCACTGAATGGGTCACTAAGTCAAAAGAGCACCTCTAGTGCCTACCTCTAGTAGACAACAAAGCTTATACTTAAATTGAAAATTTATCCAAAATGCAGACACAGAAGCCCTTGCCTTTCTCTCAACAGAGAAAAGTGGCCAAAATAAACCAAGCACCAATAAACTTTCAATGTCTTTGGTAGGATGCTCTGTGGACATCTTTAAAGTATAGTATGTTGCAGACATGAAAGCCTGGGCTGGGCAAAGCTGGTCACTGGAGAAATTGCCATTTCTTCAATGATGAAGCAACTGGGATTGCGGCATATATTTTATGTGTGTAGATACAGTGTTTTTTTACTGGAGCAGAGCTTGACATTTGAATGTGATTAATGCCCCTGAAGAAGTGAGCAGTTATGTTGAAACAAGAAATGTCTCAGCACCAAATATTGCCCCTGCTCTTCTAATTCTAGCTTCTGGTGTCGCATTTTTTTCCCCAGCTTTTCATTGCTTGACAAAAATATATTATTCTAAATTACACCTTTCTTTGCGCTCAAAGTGCTCACTTCCTTAATATTGTATTGGGACCTTGTCTAAACTAAGATTTTTTAATTTTTTTTTCAGACTTCCAACCTTCCAACTGTTATTATCATCACAGTAGAAATAATTGAAACATGTGCAGAAAAACAGCTTTGCATCAGTCAGTGGCCATTTAGCGCACACCGTATCTGGATATTGGTTCAGAGACCTGGGAGCTTGTTCGAGCTTGTTCTTTTTTTTTTTTTTTTTTTTTTTTTTATACATAACTCTCCTGGATTACACAGGAAAACTCGATCAGTTTTGACAACAGGTTCTAATGACAATTCAGTGGAGCTGTTGCCAAGACCAGTTTACTTTTAAGAAAGGGTAAGGACTTTCTTCAGATGCACAAATGTTCACGTGCACACACACTTTCCCAGATTTCAGGTTATTGACTGATGGGAGGATACTGCCAATAACAATATAATGCAAGCAATGGATTTGTAGAACTTCCTTTGCTACTTGTCACACAGCTACTATTTTAACTTATTCAACAGATTTTAAAAAAATATTTAATAGAATTGACATGTGGCCATTTCTGGAACCGAGCACGGCAGCCGTATAATGGCAAAGCAATGCCACTAACATTTTTGGACAGGAAATAAAGAATGTCGTGTCCAGTTGCAGTAGGGGATAGGATTCAGGTAGGCAAATTATAATGACCAGAATCACAATTTGGCTGAGGCGCAAGTTAACCCCTATTGACCTGAACACTTCTACGGGATCTTTAATCATTATATTAAGGCTGATTTCAATTTCTTCTTGCTACCACAGTGAAGAACAGCCAGGCAGTTGGTCACAGAGTTTTCTGGGCCTTATTCAAGGCAAAGACTGGTAGCTATTCACTGGTAAGCACCATTTCCCACAGACCTGTTGGGAAGGTGTCCCAGCAGACCCAGGGCCTGTCTAACCCCACTCCATCACTCAGCTCTGGCGTTACAGAAATCTGTGCTTAAGCCTAGGAAGAATGCTTATTTGATGACATTTAACATATCTGGATATTCCCACTGAGAAGCAGGATATTCATGCTGTGAAGAAGGGGCTGGACGAGGTGGACCTCCAGCTCTTTCTATCCCAAAACGTCTCTGTTTCTGTGAGAACATTTTGGTAGCGTCGTGCAGCACCTGTATTCCATTAACTCCAAAAGCATTTCAGTGTTTACAGTAACCAGGAAATGTCGATGTCTGTGTTATATTAACAAGTCAGCAGCAACAACTGCAGTTTCAGATTTTAGAGCTGAGCAGAGAACGGTTCACTGTGAGACACTGAGGGGTTGGCTTTTTTGTTTGAAACACGAAGAGGCCTGTAGTGCTGCCCTTGGAACTATTCAAGAGAGCGTGAGGGGAAGCAAGTTATCAAAGGATGCCCAATACTGGGTCAGTAATGGCTTCATGTAATCAGGTAGGCAAAAGCATATATAGCTAAGTCTAAAAAATATTTGTGACAGCAAATTTGGAGCTTCTTCACCTTTTTTCCTTCCTACCTTTTGCATGCAGGTTAAGCAGGTTCACAAAATGGCATAATTTCACTCAAGATGCAGTATCTTGGAAACAAAGCTGTCCTGTGTTTTCCTATGGACAATACCACATATATGAGCAGCAGGCATGTATGTCGTAGCAGGCAGCAGAATTTAAAAGAGCACTGATGTGCTGCTGTATAATCATGGTCTATGTGAAAGGACTTCACTCTAAGAATGCAATATTCCACCACTCAAAGCATAAATTATTGTGGTCTTCCAGATAGACTCCAACTTCTCCATGTACGAGGCAAAAAATCTATGCTACGTACCCCTTTGCTTTTTACAGAAGTTTAATGGTGATGTAAAAGTACCATTACATCAGAAGAAACATCAAACACCATGGGAGAAACCTAGAAAATACTAAGATCTTTTCCTTTTTTTCTTTGGGGTGGAAAGTAGTACTTTGTAAAGCAGCTTAATTCCCAAGGAAGGTGATAGCAGGGATTGCTCTGTCATCGGCCCACCATGCCAAAAGCAGAGAGAGCTTGAGGAGGTGCTGCCATCACCTGCTGCAGTGCATGATGATGTGACCAGCATGATGCCAGAGGTCACAGCACTGCTGTATACCACCAGCTTCCAGAAAGGGGCATCTTTTTGATTGAACAATACTTGAAAATTTGACGGCAGACCAAAAAGAGCAGGCTTCACTTCCCTTTTGCACTCCTTAGGAGCGCTGCTTTCTAGCTGGCCCAGCTCCCCTCTTGGTATGAGGAGACTCACTTTTTTGAGGCAAAAAAGTACAGAAGTCCTCCTGACTGCAATTCAGTGCCATGCAGACAAAGAAGATAGGCACCCAGGCCTGTGGAGCAAAGTAAGAAAACGTAGGTATTTCACCTGTATATACTACTGGTTCCAAACTTCATTTTCTATAGTTTCCAGTGAAACAGTTTCCTATGAACAATGTCAGGACATCCTTACAGTGCTACAGATGCAGAAGTTGCTCATATGGTTTACTTTCACCACTGTCAGGCAGACTCACTTCAATAAGTTTTTGTCATTTTGTGCTGACATAAATCAGCAGTAGTTACCTGAGATCTACATTTCAGAGATTTTTTTTGAATCACTGACATTAGAAAAAAACATGTAAATTGCTTGGAGAGTAGGTGCTAGATGCATTAGAACTCAGCAAGATCTTACCTGGTGTTAGTTTTTGGGACAAAAGATGGTGTAGTTTAAACTACAGAGAATATTTATACCAAGTAATCCTTAACGTTAATTTGATTAAAATTATCAACTACATAGTTTCAGAGTTCAAGCCTTAAAAAACATTTTAGGGAACGTCACTGCTAAAGAGAAAAAAGCTTAGGGTATAAATGTGAAAACCAAAGCCCAGTCTTCTTAATGCCTCAAATTGGAGGCTATTCCCCGTTTCTATTCTCAAATGTTGCTAAATGGTTTTGCAGGGATCTAAAATAGTTTATTGCTGTCAGTCAAGTCATAAAGAATACTATTTCATCTGGAAAACATTATCCTCCTTTAGGACTTAAACAGATTTGGATTTATTCTCCTCTCTCCTGTCCTATATCTCATCTTTTATAGCTGGGCAGGATAAATGTGAAGTGGGTTGTATGTGCCACTAGAAAGTTACAGTAGCACGTTTGTCCACTTGATACAGGTAGAAATTACCTTTTAGTGCAGATCTGATGAAACTCAAGGTCTTCTCCATCATCACCAGGGACAAGCTCCCTTCCTACAAGAACTGCTCTCATCATTCATTAAAAAAAAGCCACAGAATTTAGACCAAGCACTGAGCACTAGTAACAACCTCACATTAATGGTGACATTCTTGACTTGCTGAAGTAATTCTCAAAATTCCCACATGCTTCACTTCCTTCAAGCATGTACACTTTCCTTTTCCTCTTTGTTCCCATCATGCTTGTTGAGAATAGACGAGCACAAAGCCCCCAGTTTCTTGTTGATTTGATGGTCATCACTAATGGGGAAACAGGTTCCAGCACATTGGAGTGCTACATGTTCTGTATCTTATGTTCTTTGGATATCCCCATGACTTAACGTTGAATATAAATTTATTACTGCAGCATTTTTTATTACTTCTTTAAGTAAAAGAAATGTATTTTCTCCGCATATTATTCTTTACTGCCTCCTGTCTTGTAGATAGTTTTGTAATGTTGACAGTGCTGGAAGTCGCTATGATATATTTTCCTGAATTTATATGATGACATTATAATAATATCAACACTGTTCTCTATGGTTCATATAAATTAGCATTTTATTTGCTTTCATGACGAGTGCTGCAAATTGAACAGCTGTTTTCACTGGGCTGTTTTAATTAAGCTGTCCATAATGTCGCCTAGGTGTTTTTCTGAGCTGGTAGCACTTCATTAATACTGCGGTATCAGTGAATGCTTCAATCATTCCCAAGCATTACCTCACACTTAGGTACATTGAAATCCCATCTGCTTTGAGGCTGTCAAATCACCTCACTTTGGTGATCTGAATTTGATTCCCGGAAATCTTGCTAATCTTTGGTACCCTAGGAAATCTTGAGTTCGTACAGATTTTGCCATCTGTTCACTCACTTGTCAAGATAATGAAGCTTTAAATGATACTTGTTCTAGCAAAGATCTTATAGACAACC